ATTGCCTAACCTTCCTTCTGAGGAGTGGCTGGTGGGTTTGAACCACCAGCCTTCTGGTTAGCAGTCAAGTGCCTTAGGCACTGTGCTACCAGAGCTCCTAATGAAGGATATAATCTTTGATATTCATCAGTAAGTGCTTCAAGTGTTCGCTTTCAGCAAGCAAGGCTGTGTCATCAGCATATTGCAGTTTAATGAGTCTTCCTCTAATCCTTCACATAGACCAGCTTCTCAGATTATTTGCTCAGCATACAGATTGAATACATATGACAAAAGGATACAACTCAAGACACACATCTTTCCTGATTTTTAAACCACGCAGTATCCCCTTGTTCAGTTCAAACTGCCTCTTGGTCTATGTACAGGTTCCAAATGAGCACTATTAGCTGCACTGGAATTCCCATTTGCCACAATGTCATCCATAATTTGTTTTGACCCATACAGTTGAATGCCTTTGCCTTTATTAGTCAGTAAAGCACAGGTAAACATCTTTTGGGTATTGTCTCCTTTTAGCCAAGATCCATCTGACATCAGCAATGTTAATCCTCATTTTACATTCTCTTCTGAATCCAACTTGGATTTCTGGCAGTTCCCTGTTGATGCAGTGCAACAACTATTTTTGAATTACCTTCAGCAAAATTTTACTTGTGTGTGATATTAATGATATTGTTCAATAATTTTCACATAGTATTGGATCACCTTTCTTGGAATGAACACATATATAGATAGATCCCTTCCAGTCTGTTAGTCAGGTAGCTCCCTTCCAAATTTCTTGACGTAGATGAGTGAGTCCTTCCAGCATTGCATCCATTTGTTGAAACATCTCAGTTGATATTCCTTCAGTTCCTGGAGCCTTATTTTTCACTAATTCCTTCAGTGCATCTTAGACTTCTTCTTTCAGTACTATCAGTTTTTGATCATTTGCTGCCTCCTGAAATGGTTGAATGTTAACCAGTTCTTTTTGGTACAGTGACCCTGTGTATTTTTTCCATCTTCTTTTGATGCTTCTTGCATCATTCAATTTGCCCATAGAATCCTTCAGTATTGCAACTTGAGGGTTGAATGTTTTCTTCGTTTCTCTCAGCATGCGAAATGCTGAGCATTTTCTTCTCTTTTAGTTTTCTAACTCCTGGTCCTTGAACATTTCATTATAATACTTTACTTTGTGTTCTTGACCTGCCCTTTGAAATCTTTTGTTCAGCTCTTTTGCTTCATCATTTTTTCCATTTACTTTAGCTACCCTCTGTTCAAGAGTAAGTTTCACAGTCTCTTCTAACATCCATTTTGGTCTTTATTTCCTGTCTTTTTAATGACCTTCCTGCTTTCTTTGCTTGATGTTCTTGATGTCATCCCATAACTCCTCTGGTCTTTGGTCATTCATGTTCTGTGTGTAATCTCTTCTTCAGATGGTCTCTAAATTCAGGTGGGATATACTCAAGATCATTCTTTGGCTTTCATGGTCATATTTTAATTTTCTTCAGCTTCAACTTGAACTTGATATGAGCCATTGATGGTCTGTTCCGCTGTTGGCATCTGGCCTTGTTCTGACTTATGATATGGAGCTTCTCCATCTCTCTTTCCACAGATGTAGTTGATTTAATTCCTGTTTATTCCATTTGATGAGGTCCACATGTATAGTCACTTTATATTATTGAAAAAGGTATTTGCAACAAATAAGTCATTTGTCTTGCAAAATTCTATCATGAAGTCTCCAGTATCATTTCCGTCACCAAAGACATATTTTCCAACTACCAATGCTTCTTCTTTATTTCCAACTTTTGCATTCCAATCACCAGTAATTATCAATGCATCTTGATTGCATATTTGGTCAGTTCAGACTGCAGAAGTTGGTAATCTTCAATTACTTCACCTTGGCATTAGTGATCGGTAAGTAAGTTTGAGTAATAGTCTTATTAACTGGTCTTCTTTCTTGGTGTATGATATTATCCTATCACTGACAGAATTGTACTTCAGGAGGGATCTTGAGATTTCTTTTTGATGATGTCTTCAATTTGTTGTTCCAGGCATTGTACATCATATGATTGTCTGATCACAATGGAAGTACCAGTCCATTTCAGCTCATATGCCTATAGTGATCTTTATGTGTTCCATTTCAGTTTAGATTACTTCCAATTTTCCTAGAGTCATACTTCATACATTCCCTGTTCTGATTATTAATAGGTGTTTGCAGCTGTTTCTTCTCATTTTGAGTCATGCCACATCAGCAGATGGGGGTCCTGAAAGCTCTACTCCATCCATATCATTAAGGTTGACTCAACTTTGAGGAGGGAGCTCTTCCCAGTCATATTTTGAGTGACTTCCAACATGAGGGGCTCATCTTCTGGCACTATATCAGACAGTGTTCCACTGCTGTTCATAAGGTTTTCAGTGACCAGTTTTTTCAGAAGTGCACTACCGGATCCTTCTTCATAGTCTGCCTTAGTCTGGGAGCTCCACTGAAACCTGTCTACTGTGAGTGACCCTGCTGGTGTTTGAAATTCCATTGGCATAGCTTCTAGCATCACAGGCACACACAAGGCACCATAGTACAACAAACTGACAGATAAGTGGTGGAAATAATAGTTTTAGAAGCATTTTAAATGAAAAATTTAGATTTTTAATATAAAAACTTTTTTTTTCAGCCAAAACATATTGCTCACTTTTGGGAACTGGGTGGAGGAACCTCTTTATTGGACTTAATCACTGTACCCATCACAAGTGACACCCTACGGTAAGTGAGCCAGCTCCCAGAACAGTTGTAAGCACACAGTAATGTCCACAGGAGGAATGAGTAGCCTTTTTTGAATCATAATTTGGAGGGCAGTTTTATGTTGTTGAAGGCATGTACCAACTTCCTTCCTGTGTGCTTAAATTGTAAAGCTTTCAGAGAGGTTTCAAAAGGACCAACGTTCTGGTCTTTGGTACAGTGTGATTTTTGGCATTCTAGCTAGTAACATGTTTTGTAAGCCTAAAAACAACAACAACAAAAATGTCATACAACATTTGGGAAATGAATTCATTTGGCAAAAATAAATTTGAAACACATAATTCTTTCCAGTACCCATCTCTATGTGAACTAAGTGAGCTCATTGAGTTTTTTCTTCTACTGGGTATAAGTCTACCTTTGAATTTAATCCTAACTGATTCTAGTAAAGCCTCATTTAGGGAAGACTATATGTTGGAGGAGGGAAAAGGCTCGCTATTGCTTCCCTTAAAGAACTAAGACCTAAAAGAAAATCTCAAAACCTTTTGGTAGTGGTTTTCTGACAATAACTCCCACATGTTGACCAAATCAAATGTGGAAAAATTGTGACATTTCTCACAGTGTTCCTGGGAACCCGCCTTAGCCAAGGAAAACAAAAATTTTTTAATCTGAAATATCTTGGTTTTGCCAGAATTTAACACAAATTTGCTGCCACATGGACCAAATCAAAGAGCTTGGCAATTATTTGTCAAATTTAGGTCATTAAAATGCTTAGAGTATTGAATTATTTCTTGCTGCAGAGTGCTTTTCCATAACTATTGGATACAGGTAATACTGGTTTTACTTATCCAGTGATATTTTTTCTTTTAAAGAAATATAGTTTACTGTCCTTTACTTATTATAAAAGTAACATATGCTCATAGAGAAAACTAGGAAAAATAGTTAAAAGTTCAAAGAAAGTGTGCTATGTGAAAAATAACTGCTGTTAATGTGTCATGTTATTTCTTTCAATCTTTTCAGTGTTTATATGTATACCTTCTTCGATGCAGGATTTTTATATGCACATTTGGCTCTTTTTTCACTCATAACCATAATTTCCCTGTCATATTACTTGTCAGAAACATGGAACTTTACAGCTATATGGTTTTTCATCTGCCCCCTTTGTGAAGGAGACAAGTGAAGCTGCCTGGGAATTAGCCTAGTTCATAATGGTGTGGTTGAGAAGAGATAGTGAGGGCTTGAAGGAACCGGAGCTGGGCTGGAGGCAGAAAGAAGTGAAAATACAGGGAGCAGTTCTTAGGTTCTGGCTCTGATTTGTTACAGCACCTTGTTACATTACTGCACTCCCCTTTCTAGGCCCTAGAGCATTTGGGCCTATAGGACTTGTAGAAATTCTAGTTTCTATAGGAATCTAAATCTCTCCAAGGCTTCTTTAATAACCCCCTTTGGAAGGTCTTGGTCTACCTTTCCCTAGATCCAGGGCAGCTGAAACCTGCTTTAGGCAGAAGAAAGGTCACCATTATTAAGAACAGAGGGAGGGGGAGCCATAGGTGTGGATCCAGTGTAGGTTGCTGAATAGTTAAAGAATTCATGGAAAACATTTCCCTCTTGATGTAGTTGACTGGAATTAGTTTGTCTGACACATAATTTCCTTGTGTTGGACAAAGCTCAGTAACTTGTGAAAATACTATTGCCAGATGCTATTAGATATTGTTTGTCTTTAAAATAGTTGCTCAATAGTGACTTGAGAGCCATGGTATTTCCAAAGACCTCAGATAATGTGTAATAAAACATTTCCTGTGGTCTGATTCCCTGTTTCAAGAGTTTATCTTAAAAAAGAAAAAAAAAATTGTAAGCTGCCATTTACTATGAAGATAAAAAGCAACTCCTTATAGAGAACATCATACTGAACAAAATTGGTGAGTCACACAAGGACAAATATTATAGTATCTCACTTTTAGAAAATGACAAGAACACCTATATATTCAGAGACCAGTGTTCATTGGTGGTTTGCAGGTAGGGAGGGGCAAGGAGATTCCTTCTCCAGACAGTAGTCACTTTTTATTTATGGTGATGGGAAAGGTAGCACTGAATGTGGGAGAAGTGTGCATAACTTAACTAGGGTAACTAGTATCATTCAGTAACACAAAAGATGTTTTGGTAAATGCTATGTTATATATAATTTTTAACAATAATAACCAAAATACATGTATGTGTATATATGTTATATGTATACATATATGTAAATATGTATCTAATAAAACAAGTAAGGGTCACAGAAACTGATACTTCTTAGACATAACCAGTCACCTCATGGCAACGTTTTCTTGGCTTGAAGACATAGGATCATAGTCTAATGAGACAACTCAATCAATTGGCATAATGTAGTCCATAAAGTTTAGGTACTACGTGTTAGTCTGGTGAGTAGCATCTGGGTTTCAAAAGTTTGTGAGCAGCCGTATAAGATATGGCTATTGGTCTCTGCTCATATAGAGCAAAAGAGGAAAAAGGCACCCAAAACTCAGAAGAGGAACCACTGTACAGGACTAATTGTCTACATCAACACAGCCTTTACCACTACTGAACATTCTGATCAGGACCACAATAAATGGATCCTGACAGACAAGGAGAAAAATGTGCAACAGACCTTCAAATTTCCAAAAAAAATCCAGACTTACTAGACCCAATGAGATATTCTTTAAGAATTGAGACGTTAACTATCCCCTCAAACCTTTTAGCTCAATAGCAGGTTAACTGGTAAAAAGGTGAGCATCATTCTTGAGTACTGCGCTCTTTTAAAAAACCATCTGTATGAGACCAAATCATTAACAAATGCTTTAAAGCATAGATGAGATGGTTGAGGGGGCTGTGAGACGTGGTAAATGGGAATAGAAGAACTAGAATGGGAATAATGAGAACATTGACACAATGTGAAGAATGTAACCAGAATGTAATTGTTATCGATGAACAGTGTAGAAAGTCTTGAATGACAACCTATTTTACTGTGTACTCTTTGACCAAAAATACAATAAAATATTATTTTAAAGATAACAGCAGCAACTTCTGTTTATGGAATATTCTATATGACTACCAGGCACTAGGTCTACTGCTTTGTTTCAGACAGCCCTTCCCTCTACATATGGTAGTTGGCACCTCCTGGTCTAGTCCGTTCCCACTGCTCTTCCTTCCTTCCTGTCACATCCTAGTGAGCTACCCATGGCTTATTCCTGTCACACCTTTTTTCCTTCTCTCTTTGCAAAGGACTTTCAAAGATATCCATTCCTTACCTTATAAGGTAGTTAAATTGATGATGATACAGGAAGGGGAGAGTGCTAATATAGGAAGGGGGAAATCCAAGGAAAAAAATCAAGGTTACCCCATTGGTGTGTTACATGTGTGTTTTAGCAGTGGCTTTTCAGGGGCCATGTTTCTAATCCAGAGAAATGGCTTTGATAGTAAAAATCTCAGATCAGGTTAGGAACAATGTGTGTGTGTGTGTGTGTGTGTGTGTGTGTTTATGGTGGGGGGAAGCCAAAGTAGAGGGTATTTTAAGATTTCCAAAGATGTGGGTTGATTCTCTGCTCCTGTTGGGCGTGACCATGGCTCTGTTTATTGAAACTCAAACCAAAACCAAACTCACTGCTGTCGAGTCAGATCCGACTCATAGCAACCCCTCCTTGGGTTTCCAAGGTGGCATCACTGCGGAAGTAGATTGCCTAACCTTCCTTCTGAGGAGTGGCTGGTGAGTTTGAACCACCAGCCTTCTGGTTAGCAGTCAAATGCCTTAGGCATTACACCACCAGAACTCGCAAGGTGACTTTATTTTATAAGCTCAACCATAGTCACTTTTTTTTCTTTTTAAGCACCAACCATATGTGTGATGGTTATGTTTGTGTGTCAACTTGGCTGGGCCTGGTTGAGTGGCTGGGCAGCTGATGGTAGTTATTCCCCATGATGAGACTGGCAATCAACCCCATGGTGGGATGTACCACAAGCAGCTGAGTAGCTGCTTTGGGTTTGTAGTCTGCTTCCTGTATATAAGAAGAAGCCTTGGGAATAATCTCTAGCCTGTGGCACACTTGGACCCTGCATGTAGCTGTGTTGTTGCTCAGCAGCCTGCTATGCTCTGCCAACAGGGGGACAGACTTACAATGGATTTAAGTTAATGGCCTGCCGTGTTGTTTGATAACATGGGAACTGTGCCTTTTTACTTGTCAGTCTTGGGGCTTCTCAGGCTCAGCAGCCAGCAGCTGTCTGAGTGAAGAAAAGCCTCTAGTTTCAGTGGGCCAGGAGCAGGAGGCAGAGCTGGACCCCTAGGTTGAGGAGCTTTCACCCAGGCCCTAGAGCCTGGCACTTTGAACTTGGACTTAAAGCCTCTAAATTGTAAGAATAAACTCCTGTTCATGAAGGCCATCCCATTTGTGGTATATTTCTTGTCAGAGTGGCACTAGGTAACCAGAACAATATGTAAATCCTGAAACTAAAATTTGTTTCCTTATTATTAAATATATACACACTGTATTATATTATTTTTACAATGAAGCAAAACTGTTCATGAGCTTATTCAAATGACACAAATATGTTTGGCTAGCGAATTTAATAGCATACTAATTTTATAGAAAATCTCAATAATTAGCATCTATAAGAATATTTTCTAAATTTAAATCAACAGTGTAGGATTTAGTTACTGTTTTGCTTGAATTATACAAAATAGCTACTTTGCTTGAACTAAGCAAAATAACTAAATAAGATATATTATGATGTTTTGATATATCTATTATGTAGTAGATATATGTTTGTCCTGTGGGCAAAGGATGTATTGGCCCATGATTGTGACTCTACATACTTATTATGACTATTTCCTAAAATACCCCTAGACTTATGTTGATGTACATGAACATGAGCTCACATGCACGCAGTGATGGTGGGACTGTGTCCGTAGGCCACAGTGGTACTTTCAGAGAGGTAGCATAGACAGGAGAAAGACATATGCCTCTGGGTCTCAGTACCAGCTCTGTGGCTTATTAGTTACACAAATCTACGTCTCAGCCTTCTAATCCATAAAATGAACATAGAATACCATCTTCCAGGAGGGTTGTTGTAAAGATTAAATAGGTTAGGTAGTTCCCGAGCATGGTCCATCAGTACATCTGTTTCCTTCCCATTCACCTGGTAGTTGTCATGTTGCTGCTGCTGTGGCTGTTATTTTTACTTCCCTTCTTTGGAGAACACAGTAAAATTGGATCTGAACATGGCATTGTTGGACCCAACTCCTCCCAGAGTCTATTTGACTGGACTGTGATTGATTTCATCAAAGAACTTTAGTGCTACTCTGAATTGTAACACTCCCCTATCACTAGAGAAAAGCATTGGAATAAATAAAGCTATAACTTTGCTCCTCTTTGTTTGTTTACTTTCCCTTAAGTGATAGTGTTAGTATTCTGAGTTTCAGTGTGCTAGATATCAAAATGGTAATTACTTGGAGACTTTTCTGAAAGATGTTTTTGTTTTTTAGGACATTTTCTATTGTTCTTGTTTTGGATCTTTCAAAACCTAATGACCTTTGGCCCACCATGGAAAATCTGTTGCAAGCCACAAAAAGCCACATAGATAAAGTAATAATGAAACTGGGGAAGACAAACTCTAAAGCTGCTTCTGAAATGAGACAGAAGATGTGGAGTAATACGCAGAGGGATCATCCAGTGAGTTGCTGTTGAGATTTTTCCTAGAAATCTCAGCCCCATTCATTCATAGTTAAAGATAACAGCACAAACAACTTCCTTAGATTTTTATGCATGACTTGAAATTCATTTGATGTAGATGAACCCATTCACTGGATAATTACAGCAATTTAATAAAACCTCAGTAAGAGCAAAACAAGGAAAAAAAATTCTTGTCTTCTTGTTAGACATCTACTGTAATTGTTATGGCATATCACACCAATCAAAAGAAATAGAGTTTTCAAGTAATAGTTTGATACTGATTTTATAATCTCTGTAAAATGAATATAAAAAACAGACTATGGAACAAAACTTACAATCATTTAAAAAAAAAAAAAAAAGGCCCATGTTTGCTGGTCTGATGGAGCTTGGTGGAACCACTGAGATTATGGCCCCCTAGTTGCCCTTTAGGTCTGGAATTGAATCCACTCCTCTGACTTCCAGCCAAAAAAGACAGGCATATCAGCTGAACATTTACAATAGGTAAATACACTCCTTAGAGAGATCAATCATGGGAGACTAGAAGGGCTGTATATTCACAGGGAGACAACTCAGGGGACAGGAGTGTGTGGAGGGAAGGATACAGGGAAGAGGTAACTATGGGGAGGAATGGGAGGGGAGCTGTTGCATTGTGGAAAATTGTAGTCAATGTCATGAGACAAAGTGTATGTGAACTGCTATATGGAAAGTGAATTTGCTCTGTAAACTTTCACCCAAATCACAATTTAAAAAAAAAAACCAACTATACAAAAGTTGCCTGGCACAGAGTAGAATGTAATCAAGGAGTAATTATAACAGCCTTCACCATCACTCTATACTTTGGATTCATTTAGTGTCTGTCACATATTCAGTATCTTTTGATCATCTGACTACTAATTAGATTATAAAGTTGCAGTGGTGGTACCAGAAGTCCTTTATAAACACAATCATGAATATCATGGTAAGAGCATCATTTTATATTGTCTAGAGTTTATGTAGGTCGCTATGAGTCAAATCGACTCGACAGCAGTGAGTTTGGTGGGGTTTTTTTTGGTAGAGTTTATGTAAATGTGTTTTGCATAAGTAATATTGGAGCAAAACAAGTAGTTTTATGGTTCAAATCCATGTGGTAGAAATGCTATTGCAATAAATAGTTAATACAAAATAGAAAAAAAGAAATAGGAAAATGATATGTTGTATAAGAAAATAAGAAAAAGAATAAGTACCATAGTAATTTAGGGAATTGCTATTTCTAGCATTGGAAATGCATCTTAAGAAGTGAAAATCAAATATAGGAACAAAGTCTTTGTCATGAAAATAAAGTCAACATCTATGAAGAAAATGAAAATGGTATATTTAAGCAAGTAATTGAAATTACTGAGCATGTATCACTAAACAATTATATTAAATTCCATAAATATGTTTGTTAACAGGATCGTGAACTGATTGACCCATTTCCAATACCTCTGGTTATAATTGGAAGTAAATATGATATTTTTCAGGTAAGCCCTTAGCTCTTCCACTTGGTGAGACTGGTGTACGTATATGTCTATATTTTATTGAGGAGAAATAAAAATAATGATGAAATAAGAAAAATGGCTCTGAAAGGGACAGGTCAGGGAGTCACACATCTTAAAGAATTTGGAAAGAGGATTTAGTTAGGAAAGAAAAAAAGGTAAACTGAAACAGTGATTAGATTGATGATGAGGCAAAAGATTTAGAATGAATCTTTAACCCAGTCACAGAGGAATAAGACTTACTCCTCAACTTTTAAATTGAAGAAAGTAGAAAATTAGTTTCCTCTTATCTCCGCTTGTCAGAAAATCCTTAGGGCATTCTAACTATAAAATGTGTGCTTATATCTAAATTCTGTTGAGCCAAGTGTTTAAACAAAGAAAAATCTGATACCCATAGCTGTAGAAGGCTGAAGCTATTGTTCAGCTCTCCATAGAAACAAATACCAAGGTAATGGAATCCTGCTCCTCAGAGTGTGTTTTAAATAAGAAATAACCTATTTTTACATTTAAAAATTTGTATCTTCTTGCTATAGATACTTAGTTCTCTCAATTAGTTTTGTTTTCCTTTTTAATAACATATTTCTGCAGGATTTTGACTCTGAGAAGAGAAAGATAATATGCAAGACACTTCGATTTGTTGCACATTATTATGGAGCATCATTAATGGTGTGTGCATTTCCTCTCCTTTTTACTTGAATGGACAGTAGTGAATTTGGAAAGATTAGCAACTTGTTGTATATACATGAATGTCAGTGCTTTGACTGATGTACATTTCCCTCTTCTTTCCTTTCCCATTTCCCAAAGACCATCTTCTTAGGAGGGTTTGACATTGTATCTAAAGATCAAACTCTTTACTTGGAACAAAACTTCTGAATTGCTTATTTATAAATACACATGTTGTTGTTATTATGTGCCGTCAAGTCGGCCCTGACTCATAGCAACCCCTCCTTGGGTTTCCGAGGCAGTATCACTACAGAAGTAGATTGCCCAACCTTCCTTCCGAGGAGTGGCTGGTGGCTTTGAACTGCTAGCCTTCTGGTTAGCAGTCAAGTGCCTTAGGCACTATGCTACCAGAGCTCCCATACATACACATACACATAAATAAATATATTTAAATATAAATATATTTACATATATAAATTTTTTTAAACTTCCTTTGACAATGATTATGATCCATAAGTGAGAGAGGTTGAAATGATTAGTACATAAATACAAGTCCTTCCCACGTCATGCATACATGATATTTAAAAAGTTCAAACAGATTTATTGAGATTTATTTCACCTTAATTATGTAGATTTTTTTTCTCTCCAGTTAAACATAAGTATTTGTTAGGCAAATAAATAGTAATTCTCTCTGCATTCTGTACTTGTTCAAAGCCAATTTATTTGACATGTTTCTGTGTTTAGAAAGCATAGCATATATTTATTCTGATTTTTTTAGTTTACCAGCAAATCAGAAGCTTTATTACTGAAAATACGTGGAGTCATCAACCAGTTAGTATTTGGCATTGAGAAAAGGTAATGTTAAAATATGTTTTTAAATATCTTTTTTATTGTTTTTGCCAGTATGCCCCATCTGATTATCTTCCTCACCCATCTTTTGTTTCTTGAATGGCAAAGTGCCCCCAAATGCCTGTTCTTGAAGAGAAAATTTCATATTATCTCCTGCTTTTTTCATTGTTTAAACAGTTCTCAAATTTTATAAATGAAATGCTATGTAATACTTACTTTGAAACCAAAATAAAATAATAGTACTGTTACACTTATTTCCCTGATTTCTTTTACTTCTCCTCTCATCCTTTCTGTTTTAGCTTTTCTTTGATTGTCATTTTCTTACATTGATTTCAAATGGAATTGATAATTTTAGTATGTGTATTTCTTAGCCTTACTGCTTCTCTTTGTTTTGATCTAAGATACTTTGAGTCTCTCCCCTTTTTTCCCCCATAAAACCATTATTCATGCTATTGTTTAATTTTTTTAAAGCACTTTAATTGATATTCATTCATTCATTCATTGGGGAAATGCTCTTACCAGTGGATAGATATAAAACTTTGCTGTGGTTGTATGTACAGTAGAGTGTGGCGGGCTGTTTGGCTGCTAAACTGAATTAGGTTCTTTTTTCTTCTTATCCATGTAGCAAATCAATATGTGTGGATCTGAATAAACCACTGTTTATCACAGCAGGATTGGATTCTTTAAGTCACATAGGTTGGTGAACTTATTAAGATTGTTCAGTCTTTTTTTAATTGCTTATTGATTTTATCCTGGTCCATGTTCACTTGGTTTCCAACATAACCACCATTTCTAGTTTCATTGTGGTGGCTGTTATTCCATATGTATTTATGTTGTATACGGCACATAACAACAACATAGTATTGATGCAACATGCATCACACTGATATATTTGTGATAGAAGAGATGTTGCCACATAAGACACTAATTTCTGATTTCTGTTCCATAGGGGGAAAAAAAGTTTGCATCCCCTTTCCCTCACTAATTTCCAGGTACTTTTCGATTTTAGCTCCTTGGGTTTTGAAGAGGAGCTCTGGTGGCGCAATCCCTAAGGCATTTGACTGCTAACCAGAAGGCTGGCAGTTCAAACCCACCAGCCACTCCTCGGAAAGAAGACTGAGCAATCTACTTCCGTAGAGATACCACCTCAGAAACCCCAGGAGGGGTCACTATGAGTCAGATCTGACTTGACAGCACTGAGTTTGGTTTGGTTTTTTTGGTGGGTTTTGAAGAAACCAGAAGGATAGAGGAGTCACAAAATTCAAAGCTATATATTATGGGCAGTGATCAAAAATATGATAGATTCTGGTGATAGAATAAACCAAAAAGAACACAGAGTTGTACTAATTAATCACATCTTTATTTTTTATTATAAAAATAGCTCACCTCTTCTATATGTGGAATGTATTTCATAAACTTAGACTTCGTAGGTACCTGTGATAGTTAAGGTTATGCGTCAACTTGGCTGAGCCTGATTTTGAGTGGCTGGGCAGCTGGATGTAGTATTCCCTATGATGATACTGGTAATTAGCTCCATGGTGGAATCTGCTGTGAGCAGCTGAGTAATTGTCTTAGGTATGTGTTCTGTTTTCAGCATATAAGGAGAAGCTTTAGACATGGTCTAGCTTTTGGCATGCTTGAATCCTGCATGTAGCCAAGTTGTTACTCAGTAGCCTGCCATGTTGTCTGCCAACTTGAATCAGTAACCTGCTTTGTGGTTTGGTAATATCAGAACTATACCTTTTACTTGTCAACCTTGGGTTTGTCAGCCTCAACAGCCAGCAACTGCCTGAGTGAAGAAAGCCTCCAGCTCCAGTGGGCCAGGAGCAAGAGGCAGAGCTGAAGCCCAAAGTCGAGGGGCTTCCTCCCAGCCCCTAGAGCCTGGTACTTTGAACTCAAATGTCTCACTTCCAAAACTGTAGGAGAATTAACTCCTGCTTGTTAAAGCCATCCCATCTGTGATATCTTCTATTTCGGCAGCATGAAGTAACCAAAACAACACCTGAAGCAAAAGGAACTTTAATAGATTATTTAATAGAGTCCTTTATTTTCCCACAGAAGCTACCTTTATTGTAAAGATCTGTGAGCCTAGCAACTCTTAACGCTTTAAACCAAAGCCAAAACCAAATGCACCACCATTGAGTCGATTCTGGCTCATAGCGACCCCCATTGGGTTTCCAAGATGGTAAATCTTTATGGAAGTGGATTGCTTCATCTTCCTAACATGGAGCAGCTGGTGGGTTTGAACCACGAACCTTCTGGTTAGCAGTCAAATGCGTTAGGAACTATGCCACCAGAGTTCCTTAAATTGGGCGGTAATTTTCTTTTTCATTCCACCTCTTCCAATTCTCTTACAAAGTCAAAAACAAAAAACCAAATGCACTGCCCTCCAGTCAATTCTGACTCATAGCAACCCCTGATGGGCTTCCAAGGCTATAAATCTTTATGGAAGCAGACCGCCTCATCTTTCTTTTGTGGAGCAGCTGGTGGGTTCAAACCACCGATGTTTAGGTTAGCAGCCAAGTGCCTCAACCACTATACCACCAGAGCACTCCTTATTACTCTTACAAGGTGCCTTGATTTCAAATGTGGAGTTTTTCATAATGAAACTATAAATTGAATTGGAATGAAAGGAATAGAGGTGATTTTGATTAGTGAATATTCATGAGACTGATTTTTATAATTACCATTAGTACCAACTGAATTTCAGAAGCAGTGAGAATCACTGTGTATAATGATGGATAAGGCTGATTGAACTCTTTTGCCTGTGTCAATAGTTGGAGGTCAAAAAAATATTGAGAGTTATAGAATTATAATAAAACATGTATCTAGACCTCATCAAAATTAAAAACTTATGCTCTTTGAAAGCCCATGTGAAGAGGATGATAAGATAAGCTACAGACTGAAAGAAAATATTTTCAAATCACGTATCTGATGAAGGACTAGTATCTAAAATATATAAAGAACTCAAAATTCAAGAGGGAAAACACAGTCTGATTAGAAAATAGGAAAAAATATACCATGTGAAGAGAATACAAAATGGCAAAAGCACTGGAAAAGATGTTTAACCTCATTAGCCATCAGGGAAATGTGAAGTAAACCACAGTGAGACACCACTGCATACCTATCTTAATAGCTAAAATAAAAACTAATAACACTAAATGCTGGCAGGAACGTGGAGAGACTAGATCACTCACATTGCTGGTGGGAATGTACAGTGGTATTGGCACTCTGGAAAAGTTTGACAGTTTCTTATAAAACTAAACATGCAATTAGTGTGACTCAGAAAATTCACTATTGGGCATTTATTCTAGAGAAATGAAAATGTGGTTCATATAAAAATCTGTACACAAATATTCATAGCAATGTTATTTGTAATGGCTAAAAACTGGAATCAGCCTACATGTCCTTCAACAGTATTCTATACAATGGAACACTAACCAGCTATAAAAAGGAACAGATATCAATACATTCAACAACTTCGGTGAATCTATAGGAAATTGTGCTGCATTTAAATTTTAATTACAAAAGGTCATATACTATAAGATTCTATTTATATAAAAATGTTTAAATGACAAAATTTTAGAAACAGGACAGATTAGTCATTGCCAGGGTTAGGAACAGGGCAGAGAGTAGATAGTGGGGGAAGAGGGTGGAGAGAGATGGTGACACAAGGGATCCTTGTGGTGATGGAAGGGCTCACTGTGTTGACCATAGTGGTGGTTACATGAACTTTACTGGGGACAGAATTGTATAGAACTTAGTACACACACATACTTGAATACAAATAACACTTGAGAAACCTGAATAAAATTGGTAGATTGTATCAGTGTCTTTCCCACAAAAGTGGTAAAGAGGCCTTGGAAGACCAGCAGTGAGAGGGTCTTAGTAACATAGATGCTAGAGTAGAAAGGGTGAAAAATCTTAGGTTATAGATTAAAAATTGCCAGGAAGTGGCAACTAATTTTAACATTTTAAAATTTAAATTGGACAGGCAACACATAAAGATATTCTTTTTGTAAAAAGTTAGCATATTACATGTAAGGGTCAAGTTCGGTATTTGTCTTTCCAGGCCATTTTCTATACATTTACATACATGTATTTCTGTATTTATCATCTTGAAATTTGCTTTGATATCCAATGTACCTCATTAGTTTTTCCATATTAATACCACATATAAGTCTGTTTGTGATTTTAACTGCTGCAATGTCACTTATGGCCAGTTTTTCACTAATACCAGTGCTGCTGCAGTGGAACATCCTTAGTACATGTATACAGGTGTTTCCAGGGTAAACACCAAGAAATAGAATTGCTGCTTAATAGAATATGATCATTTTTAGTATTTTAATAAATTAGTATCTAACTAACCACAGTATCTAGTGCTAGTATACTCTAGCAGCACTTGAGAGTATGTGTTTCCTTTACATCCCCATCACCACACGAAAATATCAAACTTGTCTATTTTGCTGGACAGCACAGCAGTTTAAGTGTGGAGAATGATGTGGTAATTAAGTTTGTGTGTCAACTTGGCTAGGCCTGGTTGAGTGGCTGGGCAGCTGAATGTAGTTATTCCCCATGGTGAGATTGGTAATTAACTCCATGGTGGAATCTATTGGAGCAGCTGAATAGCTGCTTTGGGTATGTGGTTTGCTTCCTGTATATAAGGAACAGCTTTGAGAGTGGTCTCTAGTTATGGCATGCTTGGGCCCTAGATGTAGCTATGTCATTGTTCAGCAGCCTGCCATTCTCTTCCAACCTTAGGACTTACAATGGACTTGAATTAATGGCCTGCCGTGTGGTTTGGTAACATCAGGAGTGTGACATTTTATTTGTCGGCCTTGGCCTTGTTAGCCTCAGTAGCCAGTAGCTGCCTGAGTGAAGAGATGCTTCTAGCTTCAGTGGGCTGAGCAAGAGGCAGAGCTGAAGCCTAAGGTTGAGGGGCTTTCACCCAGCCTCTAGAGCCTGGTACTTTGAACTTGGATTTAAAGCCTCCAAACTGTAAGAAAATAAACTCTTGTTTGTAAGGCCATCCCTTTTGTAGTATATTCTTGCCAGAGTGGCACTAGGTAACCAGAACAAAAGAGAATTACAGTTTATCCATTGTCCTCTTTATCTCTTCTTCTTCCTATATAAGAATCTGCCCCAGTGGCCTTGTTATACTGGGTTGTGGAAAATTGTAATGGTGATTGTATTGTTGTTGTTGTTATGTGCCGAGTTGGACCCGACTCATAGCAACCCCTCCTTGGGTTTCTGAGACAGTATCACTATGGAGATAGAATGCCCCATCTTCCTTCCGAGGAGTGGCTGGTGGGTTTGAACCACCAGCCTTCTGGTTAGCAGTCAAGTGCCTTAGCCACTATACTACCAGAGCTAGTGATCTAAGATTCATACTTTTGTAATTGTCATCAGTTTTATTAATAATGTCTGTAATGTTTTGAGAAAAGCAGTCATTTATAATAAACTTTCCAATTTTAGGATCCCCACCTGTTCCTGACAATGACATTGGAAAGCTTCATGCCCATTCACCAATGGATCTGTGGAAAAAAGTTTATGAAAAGTTCTTTCCAGCAAAGGTATATATTTCTCATTCTTTCAAAGCAAGAATTTTTAGCACTGTTCAGCAGTTATTGGGAAGTGTTCCAAAGGACCTATTGTAATAGGTTTCATATCTTGTGTTTAAACATCAATTAAACAGACATTTGCTTAGAATCTGCTTTGTGCAAGGCAATGTGGGAGTTAAAAGATGAAAACCAAACCCACTGCCATCGAGTAGATTCTGACTCATAGTGACCCCCATTGGGTTTTCAAGGCAGTAAATATTTACAGAAGTAGATTTCCCAGTCTTCCTTCTGCTTAAAAGATGAATAAGACCCAATTTCTGCTCCACTTGGAAACAAGAGTTCTTGGGTGTTAGAAAAGAGAAAGACAATATCTGAAAGGAAATGGAGGCAGGGGATTTAGTAGAATTTGAAGTGGGCCTCAATGGTGGTGATAAAAGCTCAAAAGATCAGAGAGCCTTCAATGCCAGATTGAGGAACAGGGACTCTGTTTGTGAGGCAGATGGTAAAAAGAGAAGGTTTGGGGCCTGCATATGAAATTATATGTAAGGATTTATCATTTCAGAGTATTAACATGCTAAAAGATATCCAGGACCCTGCACGAGACCCTCAGTATGCTGAAAGTGAAGTTGATGAGATGAGAATTCAGAAGGACCAGGTATTATCCTAAACATTTATTCTTTTTCATCTTGGGTTTTATCATAAAAATAACTGGAATTCTATAGATCTTTCTGAATATATTTCCTTACCTTTTTTTGTGGGAGGAGGGTTAATTTAAAATTAATTGAAATAGTACATCTTCACTGTAGAAAAAATAATTTACCAAACTAAAATTTTTAATTTACTTTGTTAAAGATGAGTAGTGATTCTTACCTTGCTGCTGAAGAGACACTTTCATAATATTATTTTGTTTGTGGGATTATCCAGAAGGTTTTTATTATTAGAACTCTGAGATGTACCTGTACTTTTCTAGTATCAGAAAAATTTTGTTGGCCAATTGAGACTACCCAGTCTGAAAGCATGTGAGCATAGCTGATAGAATCCTGGATTTCTGAGGAAAGTTGCCTTTCCACATATGCCCTGGTAGCCCTATCTGTGACACACACATCTAATGTAAAAATGCAAAGTTAGTCAGTTCCTCATGACCCAAAAACTTACATTTTATCACATCTCTTTGTAGTTTCATAAAATGAAATATTGTATAGGATCCAACTTCATTTGAGTAATCTTATATATAATAAACACTGTCAGTTGAAAGGAGTCCTGAGGAGCACAGATGGTTAAATATTTGGCTACTACCTAAAAGGATAGAATCTGTCCAGAAGTATCTCAAAAGAAAGGACTGGTGATCTGCTTCTGAAAGGCAAAAAAATCAAACAAACCAACCCACTGCCATCAAGTTGATTCTGACTTGTAGCAACCCTATAGGACAGAATAGAACTGCTCCGTAGGGTTTCCAGGGCTGTAAATCTTTATTTACAAAAGCAGACTGCAGTGTCTTTTTCACACGGAGTAACTGGTAGGTTTGAACTGCCAGCCTTTTGGTTAGCAAGCCAGTGCTTTAACCACAACACCATCAGAGCTCCTTAGAGAGCATAGTTCTGTTCTTCAACACATGGTGTCACCATGAGTCGGAGTCAACTTGGTTTGGGTTTTTTTTTTTTTGTATCGGTTGAAAGACATGACAACCTCTCAGTAGGGATTTGTAGAGCTAGGTAAGGTAGGCAGTCACGTTGTTGCAAAATAACTTGAAGACAGCTCTCCACTGGGAGCAATGACCAGGGTTTTTTTTTTTTTTTTTTCCTCTTTGCCTTCAGTGGTCCTTTACTAGAATAAGTGAAGACTTACACCAAATCTTAAGGAACTCTGGTAGTGTAGTCAGTGAGGCATTTGGGTACGGTCAGTGGATCAAACCCACCAGCTGCTTCATGGGAGGAAGATGAGGCAATCTACTTCTATAAAGATTTATAGACTTGGAAATCCAAAGAGGGTCGCTATGAGTTGGAATTGACTCAGTGGTAGTGGATTTGGTTTTTGGTTTTATACCAAATCTTAGCAAAACATTTTATTCAAACGATCCAAAAGCCAAAACTATCACATAGATGCAGACAGCTTTTGAAAGGTATACCATGAATATATATGGGGCTTTGTAGCTGTAGCAAAGTGTCTCATGTTGTACAGACAGTAAAATGACCTCTGGTAACCCTTATTATGTGTGCAGCTTGGCTGTGGAGATTAGTTGGAATTCACTCTTGAATTAATACTTATCTAGGAGTCAATAATTAACTGCTATTCTTGATAAGAATATCTGTTTATATTGCAGAGTGATCACTTTTATTAACTTCACATCCATAAGTATTATTAAATGACTAAAGTATTTTTGAAGGAGTTCTGGTGGTGGAGTGCCTAAGGCATTTGACTGCTAACCAAAAGGTTGGTGGTTCAAACCCATCAGCTGCTCTGCGGAAGGAAGATGGGGCAATCTATTTCCATAAAGATTTAATGCCTCAAAAACCCAATATGGGTCGCTATGAGTAGGAATTGACTTGATGGCAGTGAGTTTAAAGTATTTTTGAGCATCATGAGTTTTCACATCCAAGATCCATCTTCTCTAACTGACTTAAAACCGTAAGAATTTTGAATGGAACTGGAAAGCAAACCCATAGTATGTATATTATTGTTCACTCAGCTCTGTATCTCACTGCTGTTGTAGTTAGTTGCTGTAGAGGCAGCCCCCAACTCATGGCACTCCATCCCCATACAGAATGGATCAGCCTGTTGTGATCCACAGGGATTTCATTGGCTGATTTTCAGAAGTAGAATACTAGGCCTTTCTTCCCAGTTCATTTCAGTCTGGAAGCTCCTCTGGAACCTGTTGAGCATCATAGTAACACTCAGGCCGCCACTGATAGGCAGCTGGTAGCTGTGTTTGAGGAGCATTGGCTGAGAATTGAACCTAGGTCACTAATTGCTTTGGTCCCTTGGCTAAAAGATTTTATTTAACTTACCTGAAAAGTTATAATACCCTAACGTTGTCTCTATACTATTTTCATTAGTGCTGCTTCCATAGGTGAATTTCATCAGTTTGAGATTGCATATGTGGTACCTAAATGAAACTTTGTGACTCTGTTTTAAAGCTATCCTAACAATTTCCAGTTGTTACTCAGTTATCTAATTGATATACAAATCCAAAATTTAATGTTCTAATATCAAATTTTAAATTTGTGCATAATTTTGTGCTTTCCCAAAGTAGTTTTAGGGTTTTACCATTAAGCTGATTTACATATGTGAAAATTCTCTCCATATTAATTTTAAAGATTCTGCTGGATTTCCCTCTCAACATTTAACAATACATTTTCACTTTTATTACAGGCAAGGTGGTCAGTGCAAGTTTTATTAATACAGCCTATGAGAAAATTCATCGGCATTAGTTGAAAATCTAGCCAGTTGTCTGCAGCTCTTTCTTCACACTGCTATACTATGATTATTGCTGTATGACATTTTTCAGTCCAGCTAGCATTATCATCTTTAGATTTGATTGCTTGGAACAATAATAATGTAATAATCTATCTCTCTTTAATAATTTAGCTATTTCTAAATTTTAAATGTCTTAGAGTTTCTATAATTACATAAGAGGGTGTTCTTGTTTAAGAAGCAAACTGTAAATGCTTAAAGAAGATAATAGTGTGTGCCATGTGTCTGCACACCCTTAACCCAGGTAGTTACTTCTGAGTCTTGTGCTTCTTGGAAGGAGAGATGACATCTTGTTTTATTAAAATATAATCTCCTATCACAGAGGCCTGGTTTTGAGCCTTACTGAGACCAGATGTGATCTTTCTCTTGACTCCCACACACCCAAACCCCATTATTAGTGCTCTACATTATCATCAGGAATGAAACAGAAAATGAGCTTCAAGACCTTTAAGCTTTGACAGTGAGATTACAACATGTCACTTCTAGAAGCATAGTGCCTAAGGCACTTGACTGCTAACCAGAAGACTGACGGTTCAAACCCACCAGCTACTCCTCAGAAGGTTGGGCAATCTACTTCCGTAGACTCGACGGCACATGACAATAACAAAAACAAAATGCAAAGGCTAACTCATGAGTTTCATTAAGTTCCTCCAACACTTGAACCTTAAAAAAAAGGCCCAAATAGCATAGGTCATTAGGCAAGAAAGATTTGTCCATCTTTCTGCCCCAGTTGTTGTTGTTGTTGTTATGTGCCATCGAGTTGGCCCCAATTCATAGCGACCCCTCCTTGGGTTTCCGAGGCAGTATCACTACGGAAGTAGATTGCCCAACCTTCCTTCTGAGGAGAGGAGTTGTATTTAAACCATGCTTCTGTTAAATACACTGGGGGAAGAGGGTGTATCACAGCATTCCATAACATCGTAAGTCCTTTGTAGCAAAACGTTTCTTTTATGGCAGCAATCTGGAATCCCTCGTGTCCCACAGATTCAGAGAGATCATTGTCTCTGTGAAATCCATCCCTTATGTGTCTGAAAATCATTTTAAGACCCTGTCATTGTTCCTACAGACTAAGCACCTTTCCTCAATGGTTCTCTTTCCTCTAATTTTTCAATGTTCTCTCTTTTGCCAGTCATCACACAGGCACCAGAAATATGTGACCAGTATTTAGTATTTTGGGTTTTTTTCAAAAATAACAACACTGTAGTTTTAAAGCATTCCCAATTTTAAGGAAATGTGCTTATGGAAAACACTTGCTGGGCCCTTCTGCCTCTTGTCTATATTTTTATTGTCAAAAAAAAAAAAAAAATGGTATACACAATTATTTTTAAGGGCTTCTTGGCCAATCACACATAACCTCCCAATATCTGTTTTGAATCTCTGATTTTAAAAATCCATCTTGTTTATAATCTTTGGGCCTGTAACTAAATTAAACATAAACACACATACATGCACATTCACATGTTTAGGGGACAATGTTGGTGTCCCTTTTAAATAAAATGTTTTAAGCATTTTAAGACTATTTCTTGATTCATTTATATTTGAAAAACTAGTGGTTTTTAAGAATCAGGGTGGAAAACCTTTCTTGGTTTTGCTTTCACTTTGACTGATTATCCAAAACAGCCCAGAATAATTGTGGTATAAAGAAGATTCCTCCTACCTGCCACCCTTTACAGCATGATCATATTAGTTTGAGTTCATATGATAGAAATGTTGAAGAGCTGGTGGACTTGAGCTCTAAATCACACCAACCAAAACCAAATCGAACTCACTGCCATCATGTCTAATCCAACTCATAGCAACCCTATTGGATTTCTAAGGCTGTAAATCTTTTTGGAAGCAGACTGCCCCATTGTCCTTCTGCAGAGCAGCTGGTGGGTTCAAACTACTGACCTTTTGGTGAACAGCCAAATGCCTTAACCACTACACCACCAGAGAGCTTCTTTTGAATCACACCAGTCATCCTTTATTCCCCTTCCACCTTGGCCTGTGTGACTAGCTCCATTTTTCTTTCAGTTTGCTGACTTCAGAAGGGAGATACCATTAGCAGAAGAAGGTTTCACCTTTATCATTAGTAAAAATTATTCAACACTCCCAGTTAAAGGCAGAGTTCACAACTACTCATTACTGTTTATTCCTCTCTGAGCTTTAAGCTGTAAGTGGTAGAAGATGTGACTGGAATGAACTTCATTAGAAAAATAAACCAAGCTATCAGAATAACTTTGGAGTTATTACTGTGACATCCTTCCAAAGTCTGTGTACACTTTTCAGACTCTTAACATTTAAGTTTTAATAGCTTATGCTGTAGATGTTGAAGAGACAGTGACAATTTTTCTGAAAATGAGAACAGATCTTCCTTTCATAACTACTGTGAACTTCAATTATGTTAGCAAAAGGGCAGCGATTGCCTTAGCTTGCAGAGTAGCCATTTTTTGCTTCTCTGAAATAATAATATACTTTGTACAGTTATGTAGACATTGGAAAACATGCAGGAGGCCACAGTGCAGTCCTTCAGATTATCCTTTTCACATATCAGTTGTCTCGGTCAGAATTTCTACCCTCACTAAAACTTACCTCTATTTTATGAATTGTAAAAATATCTATTCATTGTGAACATTTTTTTACATATGGAAATATGTAAAATGGAAAATGAAAGTGTCTTGACCTCTTCCCACCTAGTTAGTTGCTCTTTTCCTCTTGTACATATAACCACCATTATTTTTTCTGGCTGCCTGTGAAGCCACCTGTGGATGAGTGCTAATGTGTGAAGGTGAATCAGGCCTTACTGGAGCATCTAAGCCATTTCCAGCTATGTGCTGACATACCCAGTGTTGCAGTGAATAGCCTCTTATTTATATCCTTGTGTATATATTTATTATTTCTTTTATTTTGTGCATATATCTATTATTTTCTACCCTTATATCTAATATTTCTATATAATACATTTCTAAAAGTAGAATTGATAAGTCAAAGGATAATTACATTTTAGATACTGATATTTTACTAACTTCAACCATGGTTTTTTTTTTTTTTTTTTTTTTTGACAAGACCTGGATAGCAAACAATAAAAAATAAGATCACTTTTAAATACTTGTAGTATGACAAATAACCAAACCAAACCAAACTCACTGCTGTCGAGTTGATAGCAACTCGTAGCGACTCTTCCTTGGGTTTCCGAGGCAGTATCTCTACGGAAGTAGATTGCCCAGTCTTCCTTCTGATGAGTGGGTGGTGGGTTTGAACCACCAGCCTTCTGGTTAGCAGTCAAATACCTTAGGCACTACATCACCAGAGCTCCTGGTAGTATGACAGATACTCTATTTTATTAGGAGGAAGAAGATATGTACTTATAGTATATAAGGAACTCTGGTGGTGTAGTGCCTTAGGCATTTGACTGCTAACCAAAAGATTGGTGGTTCAAACCCACGAGCCACTCCATGGAAGGAAGACTGGGCAATGTACTTCTGTAAAGATTTACCGCCTCAGAAACCCAAAGAGGGTTGCTATAAATTGGAATTGACTCAGTGGCACTGAGTTTGGTTTTGAGTTTTTGATGAATAGTATATAATTTTGTCTGAAATGTTAGTAAATTTATCTTTACACGCTACTTATATTGCACAGAAACCCTGAAGACAGCATTTCTAGAAAATAAATTCTAACTATAGTCATGTTAAGAAATATTTAGAATGATAATGCTATGCAGGATACATTGTTAAATCTAAATAATGCTAAGGCAGTTTTAAAGTGCCTGCTATAATTGGTAAAGCTGATTATTTAGAATAATAAATATTTTTGTTTTAGGAACTTGAACAGTACAAAAGAAGCTCTTCCAAGTCATGGAAACAAATTGAGTTTGATTCTTGAACGTAACTATTGTGTATTCTTCTTTCCCAAATACAAGTAAGGTAGTTTTATTAATTAACTATTGTGGTAATATGTACAGAAAGTTAAGATGTGCAGTTTGTTTAAAGAAAAATTGAATTCATTGTCCTAGTGCAACCCCCTAGATAATTTGCAGTCTTTTAAAGGGGAAACAATTATGTAACTACATAAAATATATTCTTTTTTAGTAAGAGAATCTTCTCCTAACTACCTCTGACATGCTTCAGTCATGTAGACTCTGTTCATCCTTTCTAAGCTTCTGCTTATATGTTTTTTAAAAATATAAAAGCAAGAGTATGTGCTGTTTTGAATATAAGGTTAAACGTTCATGTAAGCCACATCTTTTGGTAAAGGGTCTCAGGCTACAGGAAGTGTGGTTCACTTTCACGGATGTCATGATTTTAATGTGACACTGAAGCATAAGGAGCACCTGAAGTCCTTATTTAAATGCACATTCCTGGGCCCCACACCCAGAAATTCTGAATCAATGGGTCTGGAACGAGACTCAGTAACCTGCATTTTTAATCAGCACACCTGGTGATTCTGACACACTTAAAGACAACTTTTTGAAGAAAGACAAATTTAAGGAGATACTCTATGAATAAGCAGGCCAAAGGTTTATGAGTTGGTGATTACAAGAATCAGTCTCGAAGGTAGGATACCTTAAAGAAGCCATCCATTCCTATAGATACATTCGTATACCTGCTAGCCAGTTTGGAGGTAAGTGTCATTAACCAGGAAAGTCATATTTACTCTGTGTTCTTCTATTTCATATCTAAGATATATCAGAGTGTTGGTTTTAAATTTGACCAAGAAGAATGATCTAGTGTGAATTAACTAAAAATGTAGTACTGTTTACTTACACGGTTTTTGTGGGTTATAGTATTGTAACAAACCAAACTCACCACTGTTGATCATTTTTCTGACTCATGGTGACTCCTTCTTGGGTTTCCGAGGCAGTATCTCTATAGAAATAGATTGCCCAGTCTTCATTCCGAGGAGTGGCTGGTGGATTTGAACCGCCAGGCTTCTGGTTAGCAGGCAAATGCCTTATGCCTTAGGCACTATGCAAATTCCTTGTAGTTTTTTATTTACTTTTTTTTTTTTAATTTTATAGAAAATAAAGTAGTGTAATTTCATTAAAACACCTATGCTGGGCCTAAGACTATCACTTAATTGTTCAGTTATAATCATTATTGCATCATATTATGTATAGTGTTACATGTTAGTGAATCTAGGTAATATCATAATAGGATTATTTTTTAATTGTATATAAAATGTTCATATTATGAAAATGTACTATAGGAAGGCTATTTATAATTCATCTTTTGACAATTATATTCTTAGCAACATGTTGATTAATAATATAGTCATATTTCTCACAATATATGTTTTATTTTTCTAGCAATTTGAGCTTCCATAAAGATTACAGCCTAGGAAACTGTATAGCGCAGTTCTACTCTGTCCCATAGGGTTGCTATGAGTTAGAATCGACTCAATGGCAAAGAGTTTTTGGTTTTTGGTTGTGAACAAAATAGCCAAGAGTAAAATAGCACTTTTAGTCTCTTCTTCCCTTTTCCTCTTCCATAGACAAGCATTACTTAAGAGCAAGTAAGTTAGATTCAAGGTGAATCAGTAGTCCAAGCAAGGCCAAAGTGTCTTTGAGCCTCTTCCAACTGGTAATGGTTAAACACAGGGCCAGGCAACCACAGGCCACACAGTTAAGTAACTGAGATTAAATTGAAGAGATCCAAAGCTGTTACCAGCCAGATTACCTAGACATCAAAGAACTACATATAAAACTGTCAAAAATAAAAATTATAGTAGCAGGAAAATCACCCACTGTTCCCAAGAGATAAACTATCCAACATCATGGCAGTATGGAACTACATTTGATCATTTGCTGATGTTCCAATTTAGGTAGAGCCGAGAAGAATAGTAAGGCAGCTTCTTTGATAGTGTAGAACACGAGTTGCAGAAGCAAGGGAGTCAGGGCTGGATGGTTCTTTACATACACTTCTGCAACATACAGAGGGCTGAAGAAGTGCCCCCATCCTTTACTTCATTTGTTCAGTAGTTGAGTGCTTGCTGAGTACTGAGCAGCAAATGATCTGAGTATACAAAGATACGGACAATCGCAGGCCTTAAGAGCATCACAGAAGCAAACAAATACTTAATAAAGAACCTCACCATGCTGTTAAGGATTATTGAGTTGTGTCCCCTCAAAATATGTTGTTGGAAACCTAACCCATTTGGATGTAATCCCGTTTGGAAACAGGGTTTTCTTTGTAATTTTAATGAAGCATGTCAGTGAAGGGGGTGTCTCAATCTAACAACCACTTCCCACTTTTAAGGAGCAGCATAGACACAGAGACAAGCACAACGGGGGAAGAGAGCTACCACATGCAGATCTTCAGGGAACTGAGGAATGCTGGAAGAGACAAGGATCATTCCCCAGAGTCAGCAGGAAGAGGGCCTTTCCCTTAAGCCAGTGTCCTGGATTTGGACTTCTGAACTGTGAGATAATAAATTTGCCCTTTTAAAGCCACCCACTTGTGGTATGTCTATTGCAGTAGCACTAGCAAACTAAGACACATGCTCTGAGGTATAATTTTATTTAATACATATAAGGAAGATATAAAGTGCATATATGACCCTTCCCCCTTTCAAAATAAAAGGACTCTTTCATAGATATCCTAGTGTAGCATCCCAGTAAAGAAAGCACTACATGGAAGCAGAAGATTCAGTTCTAGACTGAACTTTGATCAGTTTGGTTCAGCATTTGACTGTAATATGCCACGCACCCAACTTCAAATAAACAAGCTAATTTGACTGAGGAGTGGTAACTGATTAATGTAATGAACACCTTCATAAACTGTTTGCAGTGGCTGTGACCCCAACACACTTGAAAACAGGGTTTTCAGCATGTTTCTAAGGTCCCTCAGTCTTAGGAGGAGACAGGCTCCTGCCTGATGCTGTGGAGAAACAGCTCCCTTTAAATAGTGAACACTACAGTCTCAGAAACATCACTGAGTTGGTGGGAAGAAATAGTCTATTTCCCAGCAATAACAGAAATTTTTACCACATAATTTGATTTCTTTAAACATCACTGTCCATTTTTTACTTGAGACACCAACTGTCACATGTTGAAAGCCATCGTGTTTTTCTAAGATGGTATCACTAACATTTAATAGCTTGAAGTCACATGCTATGTCAATTTTCTAAATGTTACTGAGGTAGAATGAAATTCATCTGCATATGAATAGTAGAAAATGTTTCCACTTACATTGTACACCCATATCTTTAGTAAGTTGAAATCAGTGATTTCAAAAGAGGTTCCTGTGGGATTCTCTTTGAACTACCTCAAAAGATTATCATCTCCAGAACTGTCTATAACTGATGTGACATATATAATGTGTAAGGCATTCTGTAACTATTATACCATAATCATCAGTGTCAAAGACCTTTTATAAAAATTGACAGTACTATTCTGGTAATTTACCAATGTCTCCAGATCCTTAAATACTGTTCTAAGAAATAGAATTTTCTTTAATGAAATGATTTTTTTCTTGCTATAATGTAAGACACTTCCAATGCTATAATTTATCATTCCTTACAAGTTAGGTCACAGTAACTGATGAAGTTCATATGCTCTCTTAAGTTACTATGGTAACTGTTGAACTAGTTCAGTTTCATTTCAGACTTGTGCATGAATTACTTGAAGATAAATCAGCTATTCAGTCATTTGGTACAAAACCTGTTTTTAATAATCTGAATAAAACATTTCATCCTTGAAAATACATAATATAGAGGTTCCGGCAAGATGGCAGACTAGGCAGAAAGACTGCACAGACCCTCTTCAACAAAGAAAAGGGAAACCAATTAACACAGACACAGAAGATAATCCTGGACCCCTGAGCCTT